TTTAATTTTATTTGGCCTACATGTCGGTTTTTTATAGGACCTAAACAACGGGCTGTATGAAAGTTATTATTTTAATTTTATTGGTGCCATTAGCCGACCTGCTTTGGAGGATTTAGCTGCAGTTGCGGTCAAGACTGATACCGTTTCCAAGATACAGAAGGTTGTCCGACACTTTGCGCAGAAAACATGCAATTTCGAATTTAGTTTTAGGTCGTTGATCAATACCTGTCATTCATTTGTCTCGAAGATGATCTGTTTACATTGAGACGGTATTCAAATGATAGTTCGTTTTCCTTCTATTGTAAGTACTGTATTTTATAGTCATAGAATAACTGTTAATTTTAACGTCTGGCGGTCAGCGATTTTTTAAATATACTTTTTCTTGCTGATATTATGTAAAACAGAAAAATAATTCACAGGTATTGTCGGCTCCTTCCATATAGATGACACTGTTTGGACTGTACATTCTACTGATATCAAAGGACCCATGGAGTAAGCAGCGAAATTGACAGCTAACTATAGGACATGGTGAAAAGCGTTTCAGTGTTCGATTACTAGGGTAGGTTGTACAGCGCGAACACGTACTCAGCTGAGTACCACACTGCAAAGATTCGTGTTGGCAAGGTAATGTTAAAGGAAATCGAAGCAAATATGAACCCATCTGGAACTAAAAGCATAGTCATTCTTACGGGGTATCTCCACTCTAATCAAGTGTATCATCTTAAACGTTTGCACGTAAATCGCTCACCACATTTTGCATCCCGTGACAAATGCTACAGCAGAGCTCTATTTGCAAGAGTTTTGTTCTCCATTGCGGCCTTCCTAAGGACCACCCTCGGTCATATGCGGTGCAGCAGTTCTTTATTCACAAGTCGTTTCAGCGTTCCTTAGTGCAATGGACTTCTGTGCTTACAGACGTCAACTTTGAATTTCTTTCTTTGTTTAGCAGAATCTCTCCATCTGTAATAATTCACAGGGAATAAAATGCCAACAACTCTGTACGGATTTCGATTACTCGATGCTGTTTTCGTCCCTGCTTGATTGTAGGCCAGTAATGTGTTCGATTCTTCATGTGCATTACAGTTCTGTTGCCGGTAGAGAAAGCATACGACGTTCGTCAGTAACGTTGTTAATTGTTTTTGCCTGAGACTTCTTGAAACAGCTCATATGATGCTCCTAGATATCGGAACATACCTCCGCAAGGTTTTACCAACGAGACAACTGAAATAATTTCTGTAATCCACAATGCAAACATATAATTG